GCGACACCGCGGTGTTGAAAACCTCCTCCTGCTCCACGGACGGGTCGAACACGTAGTCGTAGGTGAAGGCTTTGTCATTGCCCACCACGACCTGCGGGCGAGAGGGACGGGGCAGCGCTGGTGCCGGGCCGCGGGGCCCCGGCCGCCCCCGGGTTTACCCACCTGCGGCTCCCCGGGCACGAAGGACAGGCACATCCGGCAGCCCTCGCCGGTCTCCTTGGGCACCAGCGGCCGGCAGCGCAGCGCCACACGCACCGGGATGCCCTTCTCGTCCTCCCGCACCATGGCCGGCCTGCGGGACATGGGCGCCGTGAGGCGGGCCGCCACACACCGAGCGGGGCCCTGCCCGCGCTGCGGGAGTGGAGCGGCGGGGAAGCGGGCTGAGGGATGGAGGAGGGGGCGGGGATGGAGCGGCAGCCCTGGGGCGGAGCGGAGCGGGCCCGGCCGGCCCTGCCCGGTGTCGCGGGGCGGCCGCGGGACTGACCTGGAACCGCCGCCCGGCCCGATGGCAGCGCCGCAACGGCCGCCGTTCAAACCGGGCCGCGCGCGCCGCGCCCAATCACCGACAGCGACGGCAGGCGGCGCGGCGCCGCAGCCAATCGCGAGGCTGTGCGTCACCGAGCGGCGCGGCGGTAGCCAATCGTAGAACGGTGCGTCACGCGGGGCGGAGGGTGAGGGTGGTGCGGCGCGAGGAGCGGGGAGGAGGGTGGGGCGGAACCAATCGCGTGCGGGTGCGTCAGGCAGGGGGCGGGGCGAGGGGCGCGTCTCGACCAATCACAACGCGGTGCGTCAGGCGCGGGGCGCGTCCCGGGCGCGGCGGAGCGGCAGCATGGAGGGCCGGGTGCCCTACGACGACTTCCCGGTGGTTTTCCTGCCGCCCTACGAGAGCCCGCCCGCCTGGGTGCCGCCGCACGAGGTCAGCCCGGGGCGGGGGGAGCGGGGCACGGCCTGGGGGTGGCGGTGGCGGCGGCGGGCGGGGGAGCCCGGCCCGGCCCCGGCTGAGCCGCCGCGCATCCCCCGCAGCGCGTGTATCACCCCGACTACAACAACGAGCTCACGCAGTTCCTGCCCCGCACCATCGTGCTCAAGAAGCCGCCCGGGGCCCAGGTGAGGCGGGCGCGGTGTTCCCGGAGCGTTCGGTGGCAGGAGAGGCGCTGGGATCGCGATATTCCCGTCCTGGCATAGGGAAGGGCGGGAGGTGAGGGTTGGTCCCCATGGGGTGTCTTGGGATGTGGAGCTGCTGGAGGATGGGAGCGGGTTCCCTCGGGTGTGCCCGGTGGCAGGAATCAGGAGGGAGGGCTGGCGCTGCTGCCTGGCTGGGCACCGCTGCACCCACGCCTTGGATCCGCCCGGGAACAGCGCAGGGAGGAGGGTCCTGGAGTACTGGAAGGGTCCTAGACAGGGAGAAGAGCCCTGGGGAATGGAAAGAGAACCAAGGGAAAGGTCCTGGTGACTGCGTTTTCCTGCTGGCTTTTCCCACAGCTGGGCTTCAACATCCGAGGAGGAAAAGCCTCGCAGTTGGGAATCTTCATCTCCAAGGTGTGTCTGTCCTTGTGCCGTTCCCGCCCGGATCCTGCCCGTGCCGGTGGGAGCAGCTGAGCCTGCGGGGTGGGCAGGGAGGCTCTGGCTGCCTCAGAACATCCTGCTCCACTCCCTGGCCTCCTCCCGGCCCCTGGAATTGCAGTGTGGGAGGGCAGCTGTGGGACAGCCCCTGCTGCCATCCCTGCTCTCCCTTCCCAGGTGATTCCCGACTCGGATGCTCACAGGGCCGGGCTGCAGGAGGGGGACCAGGTGCTCTCGGTGAACGATGTGGATTTCCAGGATATTGAGCACAGCAAGGTGAGCGCTGGGATGGGAAATCCACCTCCTTGCAGCCTCTCAGCCCAGCACAGAAGCCATGGAATGCTCTTGTCCTCGTTTTCCAGGCCGTGGAGATCCTGAAGACGGCGCGGGAGATCACGATGCGCGTCCGGTACTTCCCCTACAGTAAGTGCCCGGTCCTGGGGTGCTCCTTGGGAAGCAAATTTCCATAAATCCCTGCCCATTCCACCCGAGTTGAGCAGCCCAAGGTCACTGACTGTTGATCTGGGATCAGGCACCACATCAGGATGAGGCTGGGCTTCATCTGCCCACGTAGAACTCGGAGAGCAGAAAGGCAGGATGGTTGAGAATGGAAAAGTTAATTTCAAGCTCATGAATTTCAGCTAATTATCCTTGAATAACATAGGAACGAGGTTTGGCACAGGTCCCAGTGTTGGATATCCCTCCCCAGGGATGTCTGAATTGTGAGTGAAGGGAAGGATTGGGTTAACTCTCAGTTTCTGCTTCTGCACCTATAAAGTTCCAAGATTTAAGGGATAAAAAAAGGAAGAAGTCAAGCCAAACAAGGATTCTTCATAGAATGGAAAGTGGCCATTAGGAATTAAAAAAAAGGAGTAGGGGAAGAGGGGGTTTAGAACAAATAATTTAAAACAAAGCATTTTGTTCTAAATGCCCTAAAATCACTTGAAATGACTGCTGGGGGTGCACTTGGAAAGCCAGAGGGTCTCAAACGCTGCCTCCACTTGGGAATGTTGTGTGTTTTCCTGAACATTTTGGGTGATTGCCCCGGCCATGCTCTCCTTGTCCCTCCCTCCCAGATTACCAGCGGCAGAAGGAACGGACAGTTCACTAACAGGGAACTTCATCCTGCCAAAACCTCTGCACTCCTTTTTCCCAGCGTCTGAGATGACTCCTCACGTTTCAGCTTTCACTGGAGGCACCACTGGCCTGCACAGGATCAGCTCTTTCCTAAGTGGGGAGATGCCCAGGGGCTCATTTGGTTGGAAGATGGATGGGGATTGAGGCTGTGCTCCTGGGAATGGGTGTTGGGAAAAGCTGGTGTGAAGTGGGTCCTGGGGGGCAGCTGCTCCAGCAGGATCCAGATTTTAGCAAGACTTTAATTAAGTGAGCTCTGGGCTGGGTCTGGATCCCTTGATCCTGGATCCCTGGTTGTTGAGCATTCCTGAGCAGAGCACAGACATTGTTCCACTCTCTTGTGCCATGGAATTCTTCCCTTCTCCTCTGTCCCAGCTCTGCTCTGCATTGCTGGGTTTGCTGGCAACTCCAGGAGTAAAATCCAGCCCCAGTTTGTGCACAGCCCTGGCTGTTTGTGCCTCTTTGCTGATAAAACCCCCACAAATATAGGACTGGGATGTCTGGAAATGTTAATTACCAAGGAAATTATCAGCAAATCCAGGGGCAAATGCCTGGTGGGATAACGTTGTAATGGCTTCAGGACAACCCTGGTTCTGACCTTCTCTTCCTTGTGGTGTTTTCTACTTTTTCTGTAAAAATAATCAATAAATCAAGTACAGCAGCCAACTTGAGCTTCTTCCCACTCAGGAAGTCTGTGGAGGTTGGGATGTACCCACCATGAGCACCATTCCAAGGAAATGCTGGGACAAGGCTCAGCACCACTCACCCTTGCAGCCTGCAGGAGAAAATTTGGGATCTGCAGCTGTTTCAGGGGCTTTTTCCACTGACTCTGCTGGAAATGAGCCCCTGATTAACCTGGAGCGTGTTCCAGCACTGCCAGGAAGGAGCAAGGCAGGATTGTGGCTCTGGTGGCACCAACACAACTCCAGGAGCAGGGCAGGACACTGAGCCAGGCTGGGAGCGAGGAAAAGACACTGGAAGAGATTTTCACTCTGAATTAAAAATTAGCTTTTCCACCAGGGGAATGAAGATCCTGGAAGTCCCTGCAACACTCTGGGAAAGGGAAGGAGACCTCTTGTATCACCTGTCTGGTTTCCCACAATCTCTGTGTTCCATAGGGAAGGAGGAGCTGCAGATGCAATTTCAAGGTTGAATTTGTCCCTCCTGCTTCAGAGCATTCCCTGGCAGGAGCTCCAGGAAGGTCTCCCTTGCCCCAGGCAGCTCCTCCCAGGGAATGACTCAGGTGTTTTCCTGCTGACCTGGCTGACAGGAAAGGGTGGATTCTTTCCCAAGGCAGGCTCATATTTTGGGTATGTTAATTAGCAAAGCATTAAGGCCACCAGAATCCATTTCATCCTCCAAAACTCGAGCAGTTACTGATTCCTGGTGGGAAAACAACAGTTCCAACAACACTGCATTTTTTTTTTTGTTGTTTTAGTGATTGACAGAACGGAGCTGAGAGGCACAAATTTGTAAAATCATGGAATGGTTTGGGTGGGAAGGATCATCCATGGGACAGGGACACCTCCCACTAGCCCAGGTTGCTGCAAGCCCCATCCAGGCTGGGTTGGACACTTGCAGGGATGAAGGGAGCACTGCCAGGGGTTCAGGCTGCAGGGAAGCAGCACTGGCAGAGTCCTGCAGGTCCTTCTGGAGCAGCAGGATCAGTCCCAGGTGTGCTGCAGGGCAGGGCTCACCTGAGGGCTCCAGGAGCCATGTGCTCCTGGCTCCACTCAGTCACGTTTGGAGCCACAGGATCCTGTGCTGTTACCCCAAAATAGGGATCCTTCTTCCCAGGCTTTGGTAACCTCTCCCAGGGCTGAGATCATGCAAGCATGTCCAGCCCTAAAACCTCAGTGAGGCAATTCCACCCACCAGTCATTTGTCCTTCCGACACCTGGACATCACTTCCAGCTCATTGCCTGCTGAATTTCTTGGATTAAATCTCATTTTTTTGCTGTTCAGGCTTGAAAGTAACAAAGATCAAACAAGGAAAAAGAGACTTCCCGAGAACATAGTCACATATTCCACATTTTTACAACGTCAGCAAAGTCCTTTCTCCTCCTCTATCCTTTCTCCCTCCATCCTCCCTCTTTCTCCCTCTCTGTCCTTCCTTCTGCTCCATTTCTTTCTCCCTCCTCCCATCCTTTTCCCCCATTCATCCTTCCTCCTCTATCCCTTCTTCATGCTGCCTGCTCCATCCTTCCTCCATTCCTCATCCTCCTCCTCCTCCTCCACCCCTACTCAGACCAGGAATGTCACACCTCGGAGCAAACCCGTTTTAGGGCTGCAGGAGAGCGCAATGTTGGTGAAATAACTTTATTTATTTAGTGATACACTGTGGCTGTGTCACACAGTCCTTACTCAGAGTTACAGTCACACTTAACTCGCTACAGCTACAAGACAGCAGGGCCGGACACACGGCAGGAACACATCCAGAAAAACAGTGGGAAGGGAACTATTGGATTCCACTAATTACCCCCCGCCCCTAATTGGGGTCTCCCCCCTCCCGCCCCGGTCCGTGAGTGGAACAACACGAAGGGACAGCAGAGCTGCCTGTGAGGAGGGACAGCAACACCGCTTCTACAGACACGGACACCGACACCAGCAACTCCCACCAGGGGCTATGTACAGGGAATGGGATCAGCTTCCCGAGGGGCAGGGAGGGGACTCCATCCCAGCTTCCTCCTGCGGGACTCTGGGCACCTCAGGGAGCTGCTGCCACGTCAGGGACTGAGGGACACCCTGAGGGAGGGGACAGTGTGCCACTGACCCCGCAGCGTGGTCACTCTGTGGTCACTGTCCTCCCACAGCACCCTCCGGGTCACACAGGCCAGGTGGGGAAAAGGACAGCGGGATTCTCCTCTCTGCCAATTGACAAAACAACTTTTTGTGGACCCCAAAACCCCAGGGAACCTCTGAAATGCTCTATGAATTAATTCAAAACCTGGGCCTGGGGGAAAAGAGGCAGTTCCCAACTCCACGGTTGGAGTGTGACACCAGAATTCCCTTCAGCAGCGTCCAATCCTCCACCCACTGCGACAGGAATTCCCTGCCACTGCTCCCCTCAGCTTTGGCAAAGGTTAAAACTCCCCCAGGAGTGAAATGGCTGCTGGTCCCACCCCAGAGCTCTGCTCCAAGGCCAGAGGCAATGGGAATGATCCCATCAAGCAGCAACCTGGCAATGAGAGTGGAATGTTGCCCTTCCCTCTCCTGCTCTGCATGAAGCAGTTTCCGTGACAAAGAACAGGAGAATGGAGATCAGGGAAGGAGCCTGAGGAGCATCCATGACTCCCAGGGCAGGCATTGCCCCAGCAGTGATGGATTCCAGGTCACTGTTTGCTTCCAGAATCCCTGAGGGTCTCTCCCCACCCTCTGTGTCCTCATCCTCCCAGTCTGCAGCCAACACTCACCAACATCCTGTGGATGGGAAGAGATTCCAGCCGAGGGGAGCAGGCTCTGGGATGTCCCTGCCACACAAACAGGAGCAACAAGGCCAAAGCTCTCAGAGTCTGGGGCTCTCCAGGGCCTGTGTGACTCGAGGGGCAGAACTGGGAAGTGGTGAGCAAGAGTTAGCTAGGATCATCTGGGGAAAGGAGAAAGCAGGGAGCTGATGGGGTGTGTGCCCTGCGGGAAGCAAAGCCTGGGAACCTGCAGAGTCCAAAAAGGCAAGTCCAAGTGACTGGTTTAAGTTTCAGGAGTAGCCTTTTTCCAGAGGAAGTGGGGATGCAGGACAGGGGGCTGGAGAAGGCAGGGGGAGGATGCAAGGCAGGAGGGAAGGCAGAAAACCCACCCCCCAAAGCTTCATTTTTGTCTTCCCTAACTCGGCAGCTTTTCCATGGCATTCACAAGATACATCTGAGCAGGGAGGCTCCAGGTGGGAACAGGGGGAGAAAGGGAGGAAAGAGAGAAAGTGTGAAGGGCACCGTGGTACCAAAGTGCAACAACATAAAAAAATAAACTTAAAAGACAGGACACTCATTCTGCACTCAGGGCTCAAACCATGCAGTGAGAGGGGCGGCCGGGGCTGCTCCCCACCAGTACACAGGGATTCACTCGCTTGGGAATGGTTTTCCAGCCCCAGAGGGGTGGCAATGAGCGGGGTGTTCTCCGGGAGCCCGGCCGGGCGGGGTGCTGCTGGCAGGGGCTGTTAGCAGGAGCAGCCGCTCTCCGTCACTGGCTGCTCGGGGGGCTTCTCTAGTTTGATGTCAATCACTGCAGGGACAGTCAAGGAATCATCCAGCACAGCATTTGGAAGGGTTTGTTTGGGGTCTCTCCATGGCCTGCCTGCACGGGGTAACTGCATCAGAGGATGGACAAAAAGAGTAACGAACTCTGGTGTTTTAAAGCTGTGGAAATTCCAGCCTCAGTTGGAGTGGAGAAGCAAAACTTGTGCTGGCCATTAGTTGTGTACATTTATACCTGGCCCACAAACAGGGACAAACAATCCCAGGGTGCCTTCGGTTGGAGGGGACCTTAAAGACCACTCAGTGCCACCCCCTGCCATGGGCAGGGACACCTTCCACTAGTCCAGGGTGCTCCAAACTCCATCCAACCTGGCCTTAGACACTTCCAGGGATCCAGGGGCAGCCACAGCTGCCTCCCCACCCTCACAGGGCAGAATTCCTTCCCAATATCCCATCTAACCCTGCCCTGTGGCAGTGGGAAGCCATTCCCCCTTGTCACTCCAAGCCATTACAAATATTCCCTTTCCATTTTTCTTTTTGGCTTCTTCAGGTCCTGAAGGCCTGAATTAGGTCACCCCAAAGCTTCTCTTCTCCAGCCTGAATAATCCCAATTGTTCCAACCTTTCCTCATGGCAGAGCTGCTCCATCCCTCTGCTCACACTCCAACAGCTCCGTGCCCTGTTTCAGCCACATCCCTGCAAACCCCAGCAAAGCCCATCCCCACAACGTGCCAAAGAAAGTCAGTAAGCCAAATTTAACAGCAGATAATTGCCCAGTTCCATGGGAAAACAAGGATACTGTCTTCTTTGCTCTTCTCTGGTGTGCTGTCCATCCCAGGTAAGGCAGCAGCCACACGGCGGAAAAGCTGGAAAGCAGCAAGAGAGAAGCTCAAGGCTTGTCAGAAACAAGTTCCTGTTAAAAACATTGTTTTACAGCAGGACTCTGAGGCTGAGTTGTACAAACTCCTTAAGCAGGTACTTCAGCAGGCAGGGCAGTGATCAAAAATGTCATCAGAATTTTATATAGGAAATTTAACAGGTTTTAAAGAACTTGCATTAAAGAACTTATTCAATGCCTACAAAAAAAACAGTTTTGTTTTACCTGTTCCTACTTAAAGAGAACATGGAATTAATTGGTAACATTCTTCCAGGGACTCATGGAACTCCCTCCTGCACTTACTAAACATCATTTACCACATTCAGCCTCTGCTTGTGCACACAGGGTGCACATTTGGGGATTTCTGATCACTCAGCTGGCACTGAATATTCCTTTGTGGAACAACAGAGCTTTTAGAGCCCAGCCCTTCAGATCAGTCCTGCTGCCAAAGAGCCATTCCTCAGCAGAACTGCTGGATCCAGGGAGCTGCACTTACACTGGGAAGGGCTATGGTATCCCCAGAAAACCTGGAAAATGGATTTGCATCATTCCTCAGTCAATGTCTGGAGCTCGCCCTGCTGCCCTCACACAGCACAGACACTGCCAGGCTGCTGAACTCTGCTGCATCAAGCCCCAGAGCAATCCCTGCTGCTGCTGATTCCCCTCCCAGCAGCTCCTCAGCCACCCCCAAAGGGTGTTCCTTGCAAAACCAAGGTCCCAGTGAGGTGCTGGGGTTTGCAGCCTTCAAATCCCACTCTCCTCATGAACACCCACAGGGCAGAGAAGGCAACACGAGTCAAAATCAACCACTAAAGTGGGTTCAATCCAGAACAGCCACAAAAACTGAGCCTAAATCCTCCCAACCCCACTGTGAGGCTGTACCAAGCTGCTGGTGTGCAGCAAACCCCTGAGGATGTTTCCCAATTTCCCCCAGAGCTCACAGATTCTTATTCCAAGCTCTCTCATATTCAGAACAATCCCTGAACCACTGGAGAGGGGAATCACAAGCAAAGGGCATAAACAGAAATCTGAGAAATTCTGCTTACAATGGAAATGTAAAGGTTATTTTGCTGTTTGGTTGATCAAACACTGGCACTTGGACAGTCCCTAATCTTTGAGAGGACTCAGCTGGAGTCAGCTCTGGGCAGCCTGCTCTGAGCAGGAGGGTTGGAATGGATTAGATTTGGAATGGAATAGATTAGATTTGGAATGGAATAGATTTCCAGAGATCCCTTCCAACCTCAATTCCCCTAAAATATTTCAAGATTCTCTGGCTGGCAAGCAGAAGGAGGAACTTCTACTCCAGTGCATCAGCAGAAACAATTCTCCCCACTGATGTCAGCAACAGTGCATTGACTGTGAACCAAACCAAACCAAATTCCAGCTGACTGGCTGCACAAAACAATGATTTTCCCCCTTTCCCATCCCTCAGCACATTCTGGAGTCAGCCCTCCTTTGTTTCAAGGTTTAGCTTCGACAGGGAATCACTGACTCCACAGGAAAGGAGCTTGCACTACACAAACCAAGAAACATCTCAGGGGCTGGCAGTAAACGTGAGGAAATTGCTGCAGGATCACAAATCCACCCTGGAGCAGCCCCAGAGCAGTGAGGGGAGACTCCTGGCTGAGAACACGGGCTGGATGTACCTGCTTCACATTGTAGCCAGTCTTTGCACTGGTCTCAATGAACATCACATTCAGCTCTTTGGCTCTCTGTTCCCCTTCCTCTGTGGTGATTTGCCTGCACAAAGGTGGAAAAGAGACACAAGGAACAGTTAGAGATGGCTGGCAGGGAGTTGCTGCTCTCCCCCCAAGAGGTTACAGCCCACCTCAGGACCCTGGAGGCTTCAGCACCCCCCAGGTCTTTCAGCTGGGAGTGAAAACATCTCAGGAAAGCTCCCCAGGGAACACCTGGAGTTGTGGCAGGTGAGCAGGACAGGATGAAGCCTGTGCACAACATCTGAGCCTCATCCACAGCATTCCAGGCAAGGAAAAATCCCCATGTTAACAGGGAGCTTCCCAAATGTGACAGAGGCAACGTTGTGAGGTGACACAAAGACTCCAGAAAGGTTCCAGCAGCAGGGACAGTGCAGCAGCTTGGGAACAAGCACCTGGAATTGCCCCTCTGTGTCCCACTGAGTCCTGCTTTAGCACTGCTTTCAACACACAGCACATTCAGCTCCAGGCTTTTCCCTCAGCCTCCTCTACAGAAACCTGTCTCCAGTAATGAGAACAAATCACAGAGCAGGAAAACCAAACCAAAGCAAAAGAGTCCAAAAATGAGAGAAAGAAAACTGCAGGGAGAAAGAAAAAAACCAAAAAAAAAAACCCCAGCCACCAACTGAAGCAACATTGAGTGGAATGAAAAACTTACCAGGCTGCACTGAACAGGAACAGGGCTATTTTTAGTGCTGCTTTTTGGCCTCAGAACTTGCCTCATCCCTGGTTTTTATCAGAGGATGAATGGCTTCCTTGTATTCTGCCTCACAATAAAAATGTCACCTTTGTGACACCAAAGGTGGCTTTGTCCAGCCTGTACAGACCCAGAATTTCAGCCTCACACAAGCCCAAGTTCCTTTGAAAAGAAAGGCAAGGCAGCTCTTGTTACTGACACCTGGATATTCCCTTCCCTAACATTCCAAATTCCAGCCCACACCAGGACTACTGTCACATTCAGCTCCCAAAATAAGAATTTTCAGTGCTGCATGAACTTCAGCTGGAGCTGCTTCAAACAATTTTCTGGTATTTTTAATTGTTCCAGCAGTGCTGGGCCAGCTGTTGTGCACCATCAGGAAATACTCCAAGGGTGAAATGATCCCACTGACCTTTCTAGTTTCACATGAAACTGGATTTTGAGAGGAATTAGAAATGCCAGGTTGTTCTGTCAGGGAGCTGCAGTTATTCCCATCTCCCAGAAGGGAATGGCAGAGGCTCAGTGGTCAAAATCCAGAGCTGGCTCTGGGACATCTTGGATTTTGCTTTTGTGAACAATTTCAGGGTCAGATTGCTCTGGGCAGGGCAGCAGGGCCCAGTTTCCCTGGGTACCTCTTGTCTGCCAGGTCGGTTTTGTTCCCCACCAACATGATGATGACATCGCTGCCTCGCTCTGTCCTGACGTCGTCGATCCACTTGGAGGTTTGCTGGAAAGAATTCAAATCTGCAGGGAAGAATGAAATAGCAAAGCTGAGAATTAAACTCCTTTATGACAGGGAAAATGCTTCACTTGTACTCAGGTGCTTCTCCCAACTGTTGCCCTGATTTTTAAGTTTAAGTTTTCTTTTATCGTTCTTTTGAAAGTGTTATTTTAAGTTTTTTATGCCTTACATAATTCTACTGGAGTTCATGTAAATAATGATTGTTTTGCATCTTCTTTGCGGGAGGAGAGAATTGATGGGCTGTTGGCTTGACCAGTGTGGTTGGAGAGGTGGCAATTCCATCCTCCAGTCCACTGTCACTTTTGGAATTCTATATATTGCGAGGTCAGAAATAAAATTGGCTCTTTTCCTCTTTTGAACTTACCAAGCTTCTGTGCACTTCATGTCAATAGCGACACCCAACCTCCCCACCCCGCATCAATTATTTCCCATCCACAAAGACAAGGAAGGGGTTTTAAAGATGTTTCTGCAGAACTTGTGGTTGTAACTGCTCAGTTCTGCCAACGACAGAGCGGAGCCCCCCTGCCCCACTCACTCGTGATGTCGTAGACCACGACGGCGATGGTGGAGTCGCGGATGTAGCTGGGGATGAGGCTGCGGAACCGCTCCTGCCCCGCCGTGTCCCAGAGCTGCAGCCGGACCTGCTGGGGCCAGCCCGGCCCACAGGGAGAGGAGAGAGAGCAGGAAAACCCTTTAGGGAAAAGGCCATTTCCACACCCATCTGCAGTGCCCCAAATCCAACCCCAGCAGAGCTGTTTCCTCTTTGTAAAGTGCTAAAATTCCTTCCTTTGCTTGCCCAGAGATCCTGCTACTCCTAAACATCTCTAGGATTTGGATCCCACCTCGCTACTGGGGGTAGCCAACAGTACAGCACTGATCTCCCAGGATTCTGGATGGGATCTCCACAGGACTCACAGCCTGGAGCATCTCTGATCAAAGCTTTTGGGGCAATTCCCACAGGACAGACACCAGGCAGGAAAGCAGCATCCAACCCCCAGCACGGAGCATCCATGTGATGGCAGTGGGGATTTTCATGTGATATTGAAGCAATGATAAACTTAAATTCCAGCAGAAATGAAAACAAGTGTTACACCCTGCAGGGTTCAGGTGGTGTAAAGGCCATTGGGTTCTGCCTTCCAGAGCAGCACAGGAGTCACAAAAATGCTGGGCCAGGAAGAGTTTGACCCCAAACACAAACTCTCATTATGATATATTATTGTATATGACAGCTACAAGGTCTGGGACCTGCCTGGCTGAACCAGCACTGCTCAAAAAACTCCCCCAAACAAAAAGCTTTCCACACTGGGAGTGCCTCCTTTTCCTTCGCCCCACAGCCCTAAAAACAGGATTGCTCCTCATTCCCAACAGTTTTATGGAGGCACCCACCGGTTCCCAGTTTACAGCCACAAATACTCCCAGCAGGGAGGCAGAGCACTGGTTAATGAAGCAGCTCATCAAGGAAAAAGCAGCTTCTTCAGGACCAATCACTGCTGGTTTAGAAGGGGAAGAGAAACTGATAGAGCACAGGCCTGCAGTCGGATTCAAAACAACATCTTATCTCCACCAGGGAATGTCGAGCTGATGCCCTGGGGCTTAAGGAAGATTAGGGTTTATAGTTAAAGCAATTAGCTCCTGCTTCATTTTGACGGCAGACTTGATTACAGGAGCAGAAGTCAGGGCTCTTCTCCATGCCAGGAAACTCAAGGTGACAAAGTGGGAACACCTGGGCAGTGTCACAGCAGAGCTGGAAGATCAGACTGATCCAAACAGCCCCTGGATTTCCCAAATTTCCACACCCTCCCTGGACAGTGCTGTTACACTGGAATATTCCCCATGAACATTCACCCAGGTGGTAACTGAACCACCCCAAACCTTCAGCCTCACAGGCAAAGGCAGCTGGAGGAAGCACCACAGAGCTGGCCCAGGTCATTTGTTTAATTTGTTAAATGTATTAAATTAGTATAATTTGTTTAATTTGCAATTTGTGCAGGGTAAGGTTATTTGAGGAAGGTCTCCAGTGAGCAGGTGCCACACAGACACCCCTGAAATGACCCAGGTTTGCTGCATTTCTACAAGTCCAGGTTTGTGTGCACCCATTTTGGAAGGGAAAATGCAAATAACCACTGTGGGACACCAGGAATGAGCCCAGTCCCCCTTAGGAACAACCTTCAGGAGGGGTGTGAGCTGAGTATGGACTCCCCTCATGGATCTCTCCACCTGCATTTTGGGATGTCCAGCACATCAACAATAGCTAAGCAATTTCATTGTGCCCCCAAAAAGTACCTGAGCACGTCCCTTCTGCAACACAAGAAAACTTTAAACCTCTCAGTCACTAACAACAGTGAAAAAATGAAAATATCTGCAAAGATCAGCTCATTACTGAAGAATTATGAGATCAGCTGTCACTTAATTTCTTCTGACATGGCTGGGAACTGTTAGGAACAGCCTGGACTGGCAAAATGTTTCCAGCTGCCTGGATAAACAGCATCCTGGAGCTGCACAGTGGGAAAAATGATAGCAAGCTGTGCATCCTGCCCCCTGCCTCAGCCAGGAGAGTCCCCAGCACAGGCCACCACCTGCACACCTCTGTGCTCCTCAAACAGCCCAGTCTGACATAGTTTGCACCAAAACAGGAATTCCCCAGGACTTCTCTGGGAGAAATACCAGGAAATTATTTGCCCTGAATAGTGAGGATAAATCCCAGCCTATTATTTGTTAAGCACTTCAGCCCAGTAGAGCAAAACAAACACCTCACTCTAAACTTGTTTGTAACAGGATAAACCTGGGCCAGAACTTTTCCACCTGTGCTGTTTACCAAAATTTATATAAATCCTGATACTGTAGATTAACAAAACCCTCACCAGATCAAGTGGAATCAATAACAAGGAGTTACAATTAAATAATTCTCTTCATAACTTCCTATCTTGTATTGAAACATTCACGTCAAGAGTTACAGAGAATTTCCCTCTAAGCTTGTTTGTTCTTTAGAAATTGTGAAATCTTTAGAAATCTTTCAAAAGCTCTCTCATGAGTCTCCAGGTCTCTTTTCCAACAAAAGGGGAATCTTGACTCCTCCTAAGGCACTCCACAGCTTCTGTTTAAAACTGCCTTATTTTGGTTTACCTACTCTGACAACATTCCTTTGCTTTGGCAACTGAAGCTGTTACTTGTATAACCTCTCTCCTTACCCAGAAATAAAAAAGAAAAATAATTTTGAAGATAAAAAAAAAATAAAATAAAAAACTAAAACAGAAAAACAGTAAAGCTTTCCAAAGGCTACCAACAACCAGCACAGACACAGGAATTCCCAATCCCTGCCAACACCCACAAGTGGCTGATGGGCTATTTTAGCTCTTTTTGGGTACCACCACACCACTTCCAGAGTAAAGACGTGTTAAAAGCCAGGTCCCTGCAGACCCTGGGCTCCATACCTACTTGTGATGTCAAAGACAATGAGAGCCACAGCAGAGTCACGGGTGGAGCTGGGAATGAGGAACCTCTCCTGGCCGGCTGTGTCCCACAGCTGCAGCCTGATCTGGGAAATGGAGAAGTGCAGGGCAAGGGGAAGGGGAACAGCAGGAAAATGGAGAACAAAACCAAAACTCAAGTGAAATCAAAATAAATAAATGAAAATAAGTTGCAAAGCAAAACTAAGGCAACAAAAGGAAAGTTCAAATGGAACAGAAATGTGAAAAGAGGCAGTGATACTTCCCGAGGGCTGGAAACATCCCTCCCTCCACACACCCAGGAATATCTCACACATTCCAACACCAGAAACTGGGAGAGCCCTAAACCCTCCTCATGGCACCAGCTAACAAGGGAAAAGAACAGCCAAGCCTCAGGGATCCTGCCAGAGCAGCCACACAAGCACCTGGCCAGATGTGGGACTCCTGACCCTCAGGACCACCTCAGCCCAGTCTGGATGATCCCACTGGAAAATCAGAGGTGGTGGAAGCTCCATCAGCAGCCACCCTCCAGGCTGGCTTCTCCTGCACTGCGATCCAACAGGCTGGGAAGACATGGACACACAGAGAGGGAGGAACTGCTCAGTCTGTCAGGAATGAGGGGAACTGGGAAATGGATGTGGCCCCTGGCAGCCAGGACTGAGGATGGGACTTCTGGTGGCTCCAGCTCACGTAAGGCCACACATCCCAGTGCTGGGAATGTCACACAGATGCCCTTCCTGGGAGAGGGTTTTAAAGAAGCAAATTCCACATGTATTTCATGGAATCCCAGAATGGTTTGGGGTGGATGGGATGTTAAAGCTCATCTCATTCCACCCCTGTCATGGCAGGGACACCTTCCACTATCCCAGCTTGCTCCAAGCCCTGTCCAATCTGGCCTTGGACCCTTCCAGGGATGAGGATCCCTTCTGCTGGCTTTTGCTGTAAAGCCATATCAAATCCACCAAAGCACACATCCCAGCTGGAGCTCAGCATTCCTCATTTCCAGCCCAGAAATCAAAGCCTGCTGCAAAACCCAGCATGAACCACATCTGAGAAATTATTCCAGTGTCTGAATTTTCTCAGCTTCTTTGCTTGTATTTGTCCCTCCTCTTATCTACACTCCACACCTCTGTTATCTGAATAGGCTTTATGGGCTTTGTGAACCACTTACATAACCAGGAAAGCTGACAGCATTCCAACACTGGGAGGAAAATGGGATTTTCTGGATAGCAGGGCAGCAGGGGAATGACATCCTAACTTAAAAAACATGAAAAACCCACACCACCATAACAGCACACAGACATCCACAGGTGTCAAGCAGCATTCCCAGGATCTTTGCCTTAAACAAAGGTTAAGGAAGGGCTTTTCTAAGAGGGAATTACTGGTAAAGAAGCAGAGAAATTCTCAAGAAACTCAGCACACACTCTGAAAACAGACTTCACTGGAAGCAGCAGGCCCAAAGATCCACACAGGTGTATTCCCTCCTCTCCACAGCTCTGTCACACTCCTCACACAGCAGTAAAATGGGAAAAATGCAAACACTGGCAAAACATGAGCAAACCCACAAATACTGAGAGGAAATCCAGGAGAAGGGAGCGAGAGGTCTCTGTGCAACAGGAATCTCATGCATGCTAAATCCCAATTTGCTTTATTGCAGCAGGTCAGAGCTGTGTTACCACAAGAACTTCCTAGGAGGAGCAGTGAGGTCTAATCACGAAGGATTTCAAGACTTGGAACACCAACTCCTTGGCTTTTTATTGGCTCCAGGAGCTGCATTGCATGAGCCAAGTGGGTCCTTTCCAGCTCAGAATATTCTGTGGTACCTGAGGTCTGCTCAGCCCTTTTCATCCTGACAATCCCAGAGGCAGAGCTGCAAATTCAGGGAGCAAACTGCACCTAAAGCAGGTCCACACAAGAGGCAGCACGTTCCCTGGGATGTGGCCATTATCCATCCCAAATTTTCTGTGGAAGCCTTTGACTTCCTGACAGAGGCATCAGATCTTGTACCAGTGATGGGATTCAACCAAGGCTGGTTCTCTGGAGGCTGCAGGGGGATTTCAGCAGCTGCTGGAGGAAGAGGCAGGGGAAAGAGCCCTCCCAGCCATCCCAGCCCTGCCCCACTCACCGTGCGGTCCTCCAGGTACATGGTTTTGGACAGGAAATCAATTCCAATGGTTGCCTGGAAAGAGGAGAAGCATTAGGAGCTGTGACTTGCCTTCCAGCATCCCCTTTCTGTACAAACTCTCAGAAAGGTTCCCAAACTTGTTATGAAGCTGGTGAAGTGATTTGCCTTCAGCCGAGGTGATAAAAACAAAAGCAATCTGGGGATCTGCACCAGCCACATTTCACAGCATTCCTCAGCACTTCTCAGCTCCACAAGAACCTCTGAGTCTGGATTCTAACCTCAGACATTCCTGTATCTCCACACAGATTGTATCTGAGCTGGCAGCTCCTTCTGGCCTGCCCCAATTCAGTCTGGTAAGAATTATCTTGTTAGAAATAGCCAAAAGGTAGAACAAACGAGATCTATAAAATATGGGCAGCTGAAAGCTAAAAATCCATGTTTATCCAGGCCTTTCCACTTCAGAATGTGCTTCCCTTCCAGCGACATTCAGCAGCTTCATTTCCCAGGCAGGTCTGCATCCACTCCCATTCCCATTGCTACAGCAATTCCAGCAAAAGGCATTTAAAATAATGCACCAACTTAGGTGCACTCCCAGGCACTTCAATCAAGGAGCTGCCCCAGCTCATCAAAACCCCAGGAAAGAGGAGAGAGCTCCTGATGTACCAGATTTGAGTTTTTTTAGGCAGATTATTCCTGCTTTTAACACTCACAGCTGAATGTGTACCACTGGATAATTGTAAAGAGCAACACAGTCAGTTTTGGGAGGGAGAATTTATTTCTGGGAGGTCTATTTTCCAACCAGGCCATGGTTTATAACAACTACAACAAGCAATAAATAAATCTATCAGAGCATCTCAAAAGAGTCAGGAAAAGAAAGGAAGCACGGGAGAAGAAAAAACACAGGAAGCACAAGAGGACCCAGTTCCAGTGAGTGACTTGTCCTCGACTTCAAATCACCCCAGTCTAACCCAGTAACTCTTCTAGGCTGAATTAAAAAATAAAGCCCTAATCTCACCTGCTTTACAGATATTTGATATTCCCATTAAATACTTCTGAGTGCCTTTGATCCAACTAATTCTTCCCCAAACCTTCAGGCCTCTTACACATCTTCTGCTTTTTATCTGCAGCCTCTTCATCCCCACCCCCCTCTTTGCCTGCCAAGACTTCCCTGGCTTTTCCTATCTTTAGTCCTTTAGTCAAAAAATAGTAATAAAAAAAATTGAGAGACAGAATATACCAAGCTGACTTCTGGCAGATCCATCTACACACTCCAGACTCAACTATTCCGACTGAAATGGAAGCTCTAAAGATAACAGAGACTAAGAATGTCAGAAGATGTTGGGTTTTTATTCATTCTCCATTTCCTGAGGCTCCCACATCCAACACCAGAAATCCTGACCATAAAACAATGTTCTTCCCATTTTCCTCAGGATTTATCCCTCATCCAAAGGGGATCTAAACCTTGCTCCCTTTCTGGACACTGCATTTGCTGACATCACACTAGATGCTTTGATTTACCACTTCAGAGCACATTGTAACCTCTTAACTGATTTTGAGCTGACATCTCATGGAGAAATGGGCTCCCAGGCATCAATTTGAACAGCAGGGCATAGATTTATTAATAGAAATATATTTAAAAAGCAAATAAATACTATCACATACCTGGTAAGTATTGTCAAAACTGTCATACATAAACCTGGTGATCAGGGAGGTCTTCCCAACTACAAGAGAAGAGAAAAATTACTTTCAAGCAGCAGTGGGGAAAAAAAAAATTAGCACTGCTTTGGGAGTGGCACTGATCTGACAGCAGCTGCCAATCTCAGGCCATTCCAGCTACACCTTCCTGGGAAACAGCCAGCTGGAAATTTCAGTCCCAAAATGACAGAGGCAGATCAATCTCTGCAGATCCAAACTTAATCATGGAGATAACCTGGCCCTCAGATCAGGTGTGCTGATAACAAAGAACCAGTTGTTTGCTTTGGGCAAGCAATAAATCTGCTTTGTTACCCTGTTCTGCTCCTTATGTAATCCCCCAAGTCTGGGACATAAACATCAAAACAAAGCAGGTGATATCCCAGATGCTGTTCTGCTGCCTCTGGCTGCGTGGAAAAGCAATATTCCAATATTCCACACTCCCATCCTTCCTCTGTAACAAGATTTTAGATACAGAGCAAACTCTGGTGCTTTGTTTCAAAACTTTAAATTTACATCTCCAAATATCATCAGGAGACAAAGTGCAGAACTGACAAGAAGTGAAAAACAAAGATAAAGCTCCAATTCTGGCTAAGGAAGCTGGAGGAAGCTGAGAAAAATTCAAAGGACATGGACAGAAGACAAAAGAGGAATAAATTGCCTAAAAAGGTTGTGAAATTAGGAACATTGGGGAGGGTTAAAAACACATTAGACAAATGCCTATCAGCAGCAATGTCAATCCTCCATTGGAAAGGCTGGGAAATTAGAAAACTTCTGGAAATCCCTCCAAGACCTCTAGTTCCAAGCTCGAGGAGAAGGTGATGAGTAACAACCCCACGACGGTTTCGGTTGGAAAAGGACCTTAAAGCTGATCCAGTTCCACCCCTGTCGCGGGCAGGGGACACCTTCCATCGTCCAGGTGGAACGGGCCTCGGACACTCCCAGCGAGAAAACACCGGGATTCCACGGAAAACACACAACTCATCCACCTATTCCCAGGGAAGGGGCACAAAAGGGAGGCAAAACAAAACGAGGGAGGCAAAACAAAACGAGGGAGGGAGGGAGGGAGGGATGCCGCGGCCAGGGGGGCAGCGCAGCCCCGGGGCCGCCTCCCCACACGGGCTGCGGGCGCACTGCGGACCGGGAGGGCGGAACGGAGCCCCGGCCGGTGGAAAAGGCCGGGAACGGAGCCCCGGCTGGTGGAAAAGGCCGGAAAGGAGCCCCGGCCGGTGGAAAAGGCCGGGAATGCAGCCCCGGCCGGCGGGAAGGGAAAGGCCGGGAACGGAGCCCCGGCAGCCCCACCGCGGAGCCCTCAGGCAGGGCCGCCCCTCCCCTCACCGCATCCCCGGGCCCGGGCACGGCGCGGCCTCGGCCCCCGCCCCGCACGGCCCCTCCCGGTTCCGCCCGCTGCTCACCGCTCTGCTCGCCCAGGAAGACGAGCTTGAACTTCCTGAGCGGGTTCCCGAAGTCGCCGCCGCTGCCGGGCGCGGACATGGCGGCGCGGGGGGGCCGAGCGGGAGCCGTGATGGGGACAAGGAGACAGCGCCGAGCGCCCCGGTACCACCGCCCCGCGCGTCACCTCCGCCGCGTCACCGCCGGCCCGCCCCGCGGGGAGGTGCGGCCCGAGGCGGCGGCGGGAGGAGGGACGCGGCCATGGCAACGGCGGGGGCCGGGCTGCCGTTGCCATGGCGACGGGAGGGGGTTGCCATGGGGATGGGCAGGGTGGTTGCCGTGGGGATGGGCAGGGTGGTTGCCATGGGGATGGGCAGGGTGGTTGCCGTGGGGATGGGCAGGGTGGTTGCCGTGGGGATGGGCAGGGTGGTTGCCGTGGCGACGCGCGGCCTCCGGGGCGAGGATGCTGCGGCTTGTAGCGGGATGGGCCCGGGATGTAGCGGGGTTGGAGCCGGCTGTAGCGGGGATGGTTGTAGCAGAATGGGTCTGGCTCTACCTGGGATGGTTGTAGCGGGATTGGACTGTAGGATACATCCTCTGGCTGTAGCAGGATGCAGGGTCTGGCTGTGCCAGGATTGGACTGTATGGTATACATCCTGCAGCTGTACCAGGATGCAGGATGCAGGGTCTGGCTGTACTGTGATTGGACTGTAGGATACATCCTGTGGCTGTAGCAGGATGCAGGGTCTGACTGTACCAGGGATGGTTGTAGCGGGATTGGACTGTAGGATACATCCTGCAGCTCTACCAGGATGCAGGGTCTGGCTGTACTGGAGATGGTTGTACTGGGATTGGATTGTAGAATATATCCTGCGGCTGTAGCAGGATGCATCCAGCTGTAGCTTGGATGGGACTGGCTGCACCAGGTCCAGCATCACCTCGTCCTCCCCACACTGCACCAAGGCACCGTCTGCTCCCCCCCAGCACAACACGGAGCCTGCACCGGGCCACCGAGTGGTTTTATTGGTATCAATGTCACAGAGCTGTGCACAACATGTCACGGGCAGGTGACAGCCGGGGCCATCGCACCCAGCCTGTCCCTGTCCCTGTGCTGCCACCCATGGGAACAGGGAGCACTGTGGGGCTTTCCAGCGGGGCGGTCCCGGGAGGAGCTGCAGCAGCTCTCACCAGCACTGCCAGGGCTTGGAGTGGGTGAGGAGGGGGCACCTATGGGGACTGTGGGGGCTGAGGGGGCTGTGCCAGGTGTGGCACAGTGGGGACACTACAGGTGGCTGTGTCCCAAACTGGGGCGTGGGTGGCTGGCAGCTTAGCTCTCCTCTTTCTCAGCTTCCTCCTTCTCATCTTCATCATCCTTCTCTCCCTTGAGCTTCTGGCGAGCAAATTCCTCAATGACAATGTCCTCCTCGCTGGAAGGGAGAGCAGAGCACAGTGAGCCCACAGGAGGAGGGGAAATCCCTGCTGAGCCCAAACCCTGCTCCTGATGGTGACAGCACAGTGGTCACCCCGGCCCTGTCACCCCAATCAGAACACTCAGGTCACGGTGAGGCACAGCCTGGTCCCAGCACACAAACCCAGACCCCACCACTGTGAGCCTGCATGACCCAAGGAGCTTGGCCTGCAGCTTATGGTGGTTCTTCACACAATATTTTGCATTTCCAAGGGAAAACAAGGAAAGGAAAACAAAGAGTTGAGTTACCTCCTGGAGAAAGGCGAGCAGTGAGTAACAGCAAGGGAGAGCACAAAGTGAAAAGCAGGGGAGAAAACAGAAAAGAAGAGTCAGCAAAAGAGTTTCCAAAAGTTTGGGAATGTCAAATGATTTGGCAAAACCCACATGGAGCCGTGGTGGATACAGACCAAGAGATTTCCTCTTTGGAAGTTTAAATGTTCTCACTGAGCTGGGAAAGGGATGGTGTGAAGGGGATAAGTGTGAAAGCCTGGAGCTGCAGCCTGGTTTTCCAGGCCCCAAATCCCAGTGCTCACATCCCGTTGCGGGGTGTAACCAGACACAAAACCTTTGGCAGGGCCATGGTGCCAGGATGGATTTGGCACTGCAGCTTCCCAGGGGGAAGAAGTCCCAGCTGTGGCTTCAGCTGGAATAAGCTGATCTGGGAGGAGAAGAGGCCTCTGGTGCTGGGGAATGTGCAGGAGCACAGGGATGTGGCTTCCAGCAGCCTGGGAACTCTGTGTGGGGACCAAAACCATGGAGACATCTTGTCCAGTGATGGCACTTGTGTCTGGAAGACACTGCCAGCTGCTTCTGAGGGACAGGGCAAGGCCTGGGCTTGCAGCTGCTGTGGCTGCAGCAAGGGGACTTGTCAAATAAACTCTGGGAGTTTGCAGAACACATCCCAATCCCAGGGTTTGGTCTCTCCTGCTGCCTCTGAGAGTGGCTGCTGTGACACCAGGCTTTGAGACCTGGTTTAATCCAAGGATGTGAGCTCAAGCTGGGATGTCACACCCATCTGTGATGGATCTGTGTGGTTTGTCTGTTAGAGGGAACATCTCTTTACCTTGGTTTAGCTGTATTCCAGTGATAAGCACAGGGAGAAAGGGATGGGGAGAGAAAAGATGTGCAGGTTAATAGAGAAAGGACATTTCAAGTGACAGCTCTCCTCAGTGCTTGGGTGTTTGCCTGGAAGAGGGACAGTGGGAAGGGTGCTATGGGGAGGACATCTCCCACCCTGCTCCAGGACACAGGATGGGTGCAGCACAGCTGGACAGATGTGCCCATCCCATGGGAAAACTGCTCCCACCCCGCTCCAGGACAGCTGTGCCCATCCCACAGAGGGCAGAGCAGGGCCCTCGGCACTGGGGCAGCTGCACCAGAGTTGTTTTCACCAGCTCCCCCCTGAACCAGAAGCGCCTCTTTCCCGCTGATTTTCGGCAGCATCCCACACACAACTCACAGTCATCAGGCTTCGGGTGCATGAGGATGACGGGCATCTCCACCCCAACATCACTGGAAGGAAAAGCAGCTCTGTCAAGGACCCTGGCCAGCACAGCCCCACACTCAGCCCCACAGGCAGCTCCCCTTACCTGGCAGTGAGATCCCCCAGGATGCTGTGGCAGCAGGAGAGAAGGGACAGAAATGAGCCAAGGCAGAGCAGGGGAGGTGTTAGGCTGTGCTTTATACTGAGGTTGATAATAGGGGTGGTGGGGTGGGGGTCAGAGAGCAGCCCAGTGACCCCAGGGGAGCAGGGCAGGGATGAGGAGGTCTATGGTGTGACTGCCCTCTCATTTCCTGGGGTACAAAACCTCCCAGCACAGCCTGAGCTGATGACCCCCGATTCCCCTGCCCACAGAGCCTCACCCTCCTCGGGACACCACCAGGTTGACCTTCACTTTGTAGGACACCAGGATGCCCAGCACCTCCTTGTCCATGCCGGGTCTCAGGCTAGGAAAAAAGCAGAGGGGGACAGTGAGAGGGCAGTGCTGCCTGCAGACCCCATCCACCCCACCCATGGCAGTGCCAGGGTTTATCTGCATCCTGCAACATGTGGGGTGCACTGGGGTTTAGGAGGAGAGAGGTGAGGGCACTTGGATGAAGCCACAGAGAAGCTTCTGGAGGCCCATTCCAAGACAAGGCCCAGCCTGCAGAGGAATTCAGGACCTTTGAACAACATTGGAACTGGGAAGCTACATCTCTCCTATGGGATGGAGAGACAATGTCACAAAATCCCTACATTTTCCAGCTGGATGGGGTGGGCTCAGGGGCCCTTGGGGGGAGCCCAGAGCAGGGGGAAGTGGGGGAAGGTGTGGTGGGGAGCAGGGGGAGCCCAGCCAGCCCTTACATGGTGGTGGAGGCCAGGTTGGTGTCCTCGTGCTTGAGTTTGCCATCGAGAGCGAGGCCTCGCTTCTGGCGGTTCGACGAGAGCATGGGGGTCACTGAGTACGTTTTAGAGAAGGTGGAATTGGCAGCCACAGTCTCACTGGAAGGGTGGGAGAAAAGAGCTCAGAGCCAGCCCCAGCCTGGGGGTGCTCAGCATCACTGCGGGCACCTGTGCAGGGCCAGCGCTGTCCTCCCCCTGCAGCTGCTGGGCCATTTCCTCCTTTCGTTCCCTCCTCTCTTTCCCCTCTACAACCACTTCTTTTTTCTCCCCACCACCTTTCTACCTCCCTCCTCATTCTCAGTGGGGCAGAGGCTGTGTCTGTCCTCAAAAATGCAAAGTGAGGAGATGAAGAAGCCTGGGAACAGCTGTGCACCTTCCCCAGGGACCTCCCCAGCCACCACCAGCTTGTGCTGGTGGGACGTGTCTTCTCTGTCCTCTGCTTCTGCTCTTCTAACCCAGACACTTTCACTGCTTGGTGTAAAACTGTCACATCCTCTCTCCCCGTCTCTCTCCCATCCTCTTCCTCATTTCTCCTCCTCCCTCTCAGAAATGCCACATCACCTCCAGCCCCTTGTCCCTTACTTTATCTCCTCGCAGCACACAGTCTTCGTGTACTTATCCAGGGAATACAGGACCACGTCTGTGATCTGATCCACTGGGGACAGACAAGGGGGAGCCGTGTTGGAGACGTGGCAGGGACTCACAGTCCCCTTCTCTGGCAGTGATGGGTGCTGGGACATGTCCCTTCTGCCCCTCTCTCACCTGCGATCTTTATTTTTTTCACAACCTTGTTGGTGGTGTTGTTGATGTTGACGGTCACATTGATGGGGTCTCCGTGGTAGTAGATCTGTGTGGGGAAGAGGCTCAGTGATGTGACCAGAAATCCTGGTGCCCGTCTCTGGTGGGGACAGTGTCCTTACTGACCTCCCTGTCCAGGGAAGCTTCGAGGTGCAGAGGCTTGTCTGACATCATGAACTGCCGGGTGGTCTCGGCTCTCGGGGCTGGCCCCGACTGCAGCGGGGCGAACTGCACCTTGCGGATGATGAGGCGCACCGAGTTCCTGTGGGGACACAGGTGGCACCCCCAGTGTCCCCCACAGCGTCAGCAAGGTCTTCAAGGGGTCACAGGGACTCTTTGGGGACTTTACAGCGTCTCCAGCCAAAGGGTGAAGGTTTCACCCGGCCCTTAGGATGTGGCACAGGGACCACTGCCCCAGTTTTGGGCAGAGTTCCCCATCCAATAATGTCACCCAGGCTGACAGAAGGCTCTCAGCCTGACCCCTAAGCTGGTCACCCCGAAAAGATCCTGTGGTTTAGTTTTAGGGCCAAAAGGGGGGAAAGAGATCCCCTGAAAATACCTCTTGTGAATTTTCTCCTCCAGATTTTCAGCACAAAATCCTTTGACCTCAAAGTCCACGCCGCAGGCCTGGGGGAACATAGGTGGTCACTGAGCAGAGGGGGTCAGAGCTGCCTGAGCTTTAGGTTCCTTGTGTTCCTTCCTTCCTTCAATGCATTCCCAGAAATCCTGCCTCTGATTCCAGCCATCCTCCCTTCCCACCCGTCACCCCATGGTCCGTGAGAATCAATTCTCATTTTTAGCACCCCACAACTCAACCCCTTCCCAGGGAGGATGGTCCAGGGGACACAGGCTGGGGACAGCAGCTCACCTTTCCCACATCATCTGGCCCGGGCTGCAGGGTGATGGAGCAGGGCAGGTTGGTGGCAATCTGGGCAGAGCAAGGAAAAAGAGAAAAAAGGGAATAAAGGGCGTGTTCAGAGCTGAGCCCTGGTGACGCCGTGGTGACACCGTGGAGCCGGGAGAGGCCGGGCAGCCCATACCTCGAAGGTGAAGGGGTAAGCGTTCTCCCCGAGCTTCTTCATCAGCTTCTCCTGCAGAGGAGTGAGGGTTTTGGGAGCCTGGTCGGGCACGGGCGGGTACAGCTGGGTGGTCACCACGTAGATGTCCTTCCTGAAGGTCAGGCCGATCACGTCGAGGTCATCGCGGCCGTAGCGGAAGGCGCAGGTCAGCGTCACGTACACTGAGCCGGGCAGGAGAGGGGTGAGGGGAGGCACAGGGGTGAATAAAGAGGCAAGAAAAACTGTTTCCAAAACTCTTCAGCAGAAATGAGACTTCCTCAGACACTAAATGCAAACAGCATCCCTCATGTTCTCTGCTGCCGTGGCACCGATGGACGATGAGCTGTAGGTGACACGGAGCAGCTTTAACCTGAGCACAGCCCCGGGGTGCTGCTGGGCTTGGAGCCGGTTCCATCCCCTCCCCTCATGCTGTATTTCTGTATCAATACCTTTCCTGTCCTTCAGGTACTCCGGGTCGATCAGGCAGACACCATCTGCAAACAAGCAAAAGGAGAAAGACTGGTGAGCTCAGCTGCCTGGGAAGATCTTTACTAAAACAGAGCTTTTTAAACCCAAATAATCCACTTTGCAGCTGGAAGGTGACTGAGAGGAGCTGCTGCCAAGTGGGATGGTGATGCCTCCTCCAGCAGTGTGGCTGGGTCGTTTTGCAAAGGGACTTTGTCCCCTTCCCCACTATTTTTTCCTAAGGATATTTGCAGGGAAAATGGCATTTGCTCCTCCTGCTCTACCAGCAACCCACAACACTGAGACTGGTCTCCCCAGCCTCTCCTGCCTGTACTTCCCCCTCAGTGCTGGGCACAGCCCCACTCACCGACAGATTCCACTGAATCCACGTTATCCACATAGTCTCTCTTCCCCAGGTAGAGGGAAAGCTGGAAGCAGCACATGGGGAAAGGGAGGAAGGAAGCAAGTTAATGTTTGCCATGGAATTGGCCCAAATGTCGAAGCCCTGAGTTGTGTCATGGGTTTTGTCACCAGGCTGGACCAGAATCACCTTGAAGGGGTCATATCAGGGTATTTTTAAATTTCTGTTTTGAAAAGCCAGTCCTGCAGTGGCATCGTGGCAGGTCCAGGAATCAATGAGATTTCAAAGGGAAGGCAGACCCAGCCTGGATCCTGTGGGCAGATCCAGCCCGGAGAGATCCCAGCACAGCCCAAACCTTGGGCCAGACACACGAGGGGACAGGGCACGTCAGGGGACAGGGCACAGAGACTCACCTTGCTGTTGGGGCTGGTCTTCTTGAAAACCCTGTGGAGAAAACAGAGACAGATGTTTGGGAATGCCTTGGACAAGTCTGGATGGGGCACAGGGAGATGATGGGCAGCCCCACAAATGTGGTGCATCACCAAGAGCCACACCAGGGTGTCCAGTCCCTGGGGAATTCCATGTCCTGCAAATTCAGGGCCAAACCCACCCTGTGTGGCTACTCCAGGTGTACTCCTGAGCTCAGGGTGACCATGGAGGAAAGGGTGGATTCTGTGTCTTAAGGGCAAGTGAGAAAGACCAACACAGAGTTCCATGGCAGCTCATATTCCAGGCCCTGGGAGCAGCAGCTGGGTCGAGCTGGGGTCTCACTTTCCCCCTCTGTTCCTGCCCTGCAGTGCCCTGCTCCATCCAAATTCCAGATAAATAAATCAATAAAGATACTTACTTTGATCCATCTGCCATTTTAACTCAGTGCAGGAACGTCCACGTGGAAATCTGTGGGGAGAAACAGGGGAAGCACTGGATGAGGTGCTGGGGAAGAGGCAACCCCAGCCACGGCCACCAGCCAACATCCTGCACATCCCAAAAAACTGCAGAGCCCTCAGGATACAGCACTGCCACCTTTGCAGAGCTTGGGAGCCCTGGGTTTGGCTTTGGGGCAGCACACAGGAGCTGAGCCAGCTCCTTGTTCCCGGCCAAAAAGGTGATGAAGTAGGAGAATGTTGCTCCACTAAAGAGGAAACACAGGGGTGATTCCCAATGGATCCAATTCAAGACTGGGAAAGGCAAGAAAATGAACAAAAGGCCTTATAGAATCTCAGTTTTAATAGTTTTTCCTGGAAATTGGCTGTCATAGGAATGGGCTTGTTTTGTCCTGTCACTCATAGGAAGGTGAGGAAAAGCCAGGGAGAAAGATCAAGGGAAGCTCAGCTGCCCATGGGAAGAGGGGTCTCGGGGCACAGGACCCCTCCGTTCCCAACCCTTTGTGCTGGGAATGGGGCTGGAGCTGCCCAGCCCTGCCCGAGCTCTGCTGGCTCCACCCTGTGTGCAGAAGGAGCCTGTAAAGATCCCACTGATCACCAGCTGATTCTCCAGGATATTAAATGGGATCAGCTCAGCCTCTTAGGGATAGACAGCTCTGACATGAGCACAGCTTAAGCCCAGGCAGGATTTTAAGCCCCAGGGGCACGTGGACGGAGTTGCCTCTGAACACAACATCAGGGAAGCTGGTGAAATAGAAGAAATGGCCATGGGAGTGAGGGGATGATTCTCTTCACCACAGGAAGACAAGAGATTAGTCCCAAGCTCAGGATCTTTGAAGTCCTTGGGTGCTGTGGGATGTGAAGTTTGGGAATTCTCGCAGGGTGAGAAGATGCAAAGGGAGTGGGAGCAGAGTTTGGCTCCCTCCAGACCCCAGGAATTGGGGATGAGGCAATGAAAGGTGGAGGGGAGGAGAGCTGAACTCCTGCTCTGCATCTCCCAAGCCCCAAAGAGAGGACTCAGACCTTCCCTGGCTTGGCTCCGCTGTCCTGTGCCACTACTGACCTGTCCACCGTGTCCTTTGGCTACACTGGAATCCTTTCTGTCCACATTTCCCCCATTTTTCAGCTGCAAACCACCCTCCTTCCAGCCCCAACCCAGCACCAGTGTCCTCATCCTGTTTTCCAAACCCTCAGAGCCCCGAAGCCGTGGCAGCAGAGCAGGCAGGACTCACCTGACAGGCGGATGGACAGACAGACGCTGTCGTTGTCCTCTCCCAGCAGCTCCCAGTGCCACCCAGTCACTACGGGCTGCTCCCAGTGCTGCAGCTTCTTATATCCCCCCTGGCTGTCCCTCCCCTGGCATCTGATCTCTCGCCCACCCAGCCTTGGCCAGGCTCTGGGGTGTGTCGGTGAGCAGCGGGGAGAGGGGCTTGCGGGAAGAATCCTATTAATTGATTAACCGGGGAGACGCTCCATGAGTAAGAGTGGGCTATAAATACATCCCTTGCTGGAGCCTGGGAAAGCAGCTTAGAGGGATTGGCAAAGAGGGCTTAGGAGCAAGGTGATGGTAATTGAGGTGGAAGCTCTGCTCCTGGTGGGAAGGAGTGTGGACTCCCACAGGGGCTCTCTGCAGCTGCCCCCATGGCAAGGGGAGATGGGATGGGTCTGGGCATGGGGTTGGATGGAGATGGCAGAGCAGGGAGCAGCCTGGAGTTCTTCCTCCCCTTCCTGGCTGGATAAGAGAAGGATGGAGGCACCAGCAGCTTCCTGCATGGCCGAGGTGCCCATGTGGTTGCTCACCCAGAGGTGACCTGCCATGGCCCAGGGGACACTGCGGTGCAAGATGATGGGCTGAAGGCAGGATTCACCCTCCCTGAACCCAGAGGGAAGGACCAGCCACCCCTGGTGGGTGGGACACAGAGCTGCCACTGTCCCCAGCACAGCCTGCCCAGCCCAGCATCATTTCGTAACTCCAGGCTGGCCTCGCCTGACCCAATTAGCACATCATTAACTCCAGGTTTGCTGCGGCCAAGAGAAGACTGTGGGAAGTCTAGAGTGGCTCTACCTTATGGCTGCCAGGCAAGCAGAATTCCCACTGTAACCCTGTCCCAGCCACAGCCGTTGTGGGGGATGCCCTCCCATGGGAATGGCTGTGAGACTGGCTCTAGGGATGAGGCACAAGGACAGCCCAGGGCAGCTACAAACTGCTCCAGCAAGGCCCCACTCATCCTCCTCACCTCCAGCACCACTCAAGCCCTTCCTTTGGGGCTGCACTTGGTTCTGGCTCAACCCTGAGCGCTGGGATCAGGATATCCCTGTAGGAGCTGTGCCTCCTCCCAGGCCCCTGCTGCAGCTCAACAAAAATTATCACCTGGGTACCAACTCCTCCCAAACACGGCTCACCTGTTCCCCCATGGCCACAGGGAGCTGCCATGCCGTGCCCAGCCATGCCCAGCAGCCCCACTGCCAGGGCTTTAGCTGCCAGCACACGTACCCTGGGGTCGGGACTTGTGATCTCTTTAATTGCACACAGGAGAGCTGCTTAGGGTCCAGATTAACGGGTGCTATTTCTGCCACAGTCAGGGGGACACGTGAACTGTGACCTTCACACTGGCAGGTGAAAGAGGAGGAGGAAGAGGAGGAAAAGGAGGAGGAGGAGGCAGCCTCACTTGGACACGCTCAGCCTGGCCAGGGCCCCCAGCACCGTGTCTGGGGCACCTAATCCTGAGCTTTGTTTGTGGCTCTTCATTACGCTCCTAATGAAAACCCTGTGACTGGGGCACTCACTGGCTCTGCAGGGTCTGCACAGCGTGGTGAGGTGAGAGCAGGGCTCACCTTGGCTCCCTTCAGCTCAGCCTGATCCCAGTTGGGTGGATTCAGCCTTGCCCAAGCTGGGGAGCAGATAATTCCCCTCCCCAAAAGAGTGAGGAAATGAACAGAGCCCACATCCCTTCCCACGCTCACCCTGGGCTCCAAACCAAGCACCGGGGAAGGACGAAGAATTCAAAATAATGGGGAAATGAAAGAGGCTTCTTCCTTTTTCCTGTGTGATGAATGGCCAGAGGTTCCTCTCGCCTCCTCATCCCACCATCCCTCCAGGTACATGCACTGTGTGAAGCACTGCTCAAACAGCCACTCCCAGAGGGGCAGGACACCAGTGGGTGTGGAGCGTGGTTGCTTCATCCCTCTGTCCCAATGGACAGTGCCCTGGAGCATCCTGCCTTCCCAGGGAAGGGCCATGGAGCTTCCTGCACCCACAGGTCTGGAGGGGACCTCGGTGCAGGCAGAGCCCCCAGCAGTCTGGCCCTGGTGAGCCCAAATTGCCTTCCCAACCTCACCTGTGCCCAGGTGCTGGCAGGTGCCTCTGGCTCGGTCCCAGCTCCTCCTCTGGCACTGCACACCACAGCCACCTTACATAAACACACTGCTGATTTCCCAAAGCCCTTCAGAGCTTCAGGCTTTCTCCCCTGATCTGGATTAAGCGGCGTGGATGGCATTAATCAGGAGATAGGCACCTCCACGCCTGCCAGGAATTACTGCCGTGCTGTTAAGTAACAGGATGGAGCAGCACTGGTGGGACTGAGGTCCAGCAGGATGGGTGTCTCCAGCCCCACACAAACCTGCCACCTCTGTGTGTCCCCACAGCACCCACTGCTGTGTGACCAGAACACCAGCCCAAAATAAACTGGGTGGCCCAACTTCTCACTGGCCCGGCCACAGGTTCCTCTCGAGGCTGGGAAGCCAGGAGGAAGCCTCACAGGGGGTTTTAGCAGATCTGTGCTGGAGGGCTGGGGCAGGAGGTGAGGGGAAGAGTCCCTTAGCATTGGCCCAGGGCTGCAGGGATGTGCAGTGGTGCCAAGGGTGGGGAACAGCCAGGAGCGTGGCTTGGCACAGCTCTCCATCCTCATCCTTATCCTCATCCTCCTCCAGCAGGAATCTGCTTCTCCATCTATCTCCTGAGCAGTCTGGAGCTGCCAGGCATTTGGACAGCAGACGGTGACTGCTGCTCATCTGTAATTAATTGCTGTTAATCACCCTGGCAGCTCGAGCCATCACACGCGTGTGGGCCCCTCGCTCCTGGCCACGAGGAGTAAAACCTCTGGGGCTGCACTCGGGACCTGCGGTGCTGCCCAAACCCCATCCTGCTGGGAAAACCTCCCGACCCCTTCCCGGGAGCCCCTGACCCCAAACTCCCTCACCCCTGCAGGCAGGCAGGGCACACACAGGTACAGTGACACGGGTGCCACTGTGGGTGCCCGGTGCCCGCAGCTGCTCCGTCTCTCTCTATCCCCAGGAGCGGGCAGCTCAGACCCTACTCACCACCCCAAACACATTCCAGGGGCTTTCTGCCATCCTGCACCTCTGGCAGTGCCTGCTCCCAGCGCTCTGCCCATCATCCCTCATCCCCGAGGAGGATGCGCAGGGAGCGGGCGGAGGCAGAGCGCGCTGCGGGGCTGTCCCCGCTGTCCCCGCTGTGCCTCGCCCCGCTAGCGGGGCTGGAGGAGGAGCGAGGATGCCGCTCTGGGTTGGGCAGAGCACAGGAGGAGGAAGAGCGCGGCCGGCGCGGTGCCGAGCGAGCAGCACCGAGCCCGTGCCACGGGGACCGGGGGCACCGCGGTGGGCGCTGCGTGATCCCCGAGTGCCGCCCCGGTGGGCAGCGTGGTGGGCAGGGAGCCGGTGTGACCCACCGGGGGAAGCCCGGCAGCATCACGGCTCCGCTCCCGCTCGGCTGAACCCCAAAACTCCGCGGGAGTCTGTGAGGGACGGTGAGTATGTCGGCTGAGGTCGGACCCCTGGGTGCCACCAGCGTGGCCACAGCAGGATGGTGGCCCGGGGCCGCTTGTCCTGTGACATCCCCGGCAGGAGAGATGCGCTCGCTGATCTGCCCCCGTGTTCCCTGCAGGCTGCAGCCTCCGTGATGAGCATCCTCCGGACGCCCAGCCTCCCCCAGCTGCCTCCCTGCTGCTCCAGCCACGCTGCCCGGCCGCAGGGTACCCTGTCCCCATGAGCATCACCTCGGTGCCTCCCTGTCACCCTTCGGGACCTGCAGCCAGCACCACGCTGGGGTACCGGGAGCCCGCTGTCCCCTCGCCACTCCCTCCTACAGCCGCCGTGACCGCCAGCAGCCCCTTCTGAGCTGGATGTGGCGCTGGGACGGGGACACGGCTCGGCAGGATGGCGGCAGCAGGGTGGTACCACCGCGACATCAGCCAGGTGGTGGCCGAGGAGCTGCTGGCCAGGGCTGGGCGGGATGGCTCGTTCCTGGTGCGGGACAGCGAGTCGGTGAAAGGGGCATATGCCCTGTGCCTCCTGTGAGTCCCTGCCCCTCCTCTGCGTGTGGCTTCTGTGTCTTTGTCCCTTGCCTGCCTCCCTCTGTGCCTCTCCCTGCTCCAGGCGCTGCCAACACCTCAGGGCAGAGCCTTCTGCAGGGATGTGGGTGGGCTGGCAGCTCCCTGGCACCGGGGTCTGAGTGAGCCCCGGGTCAGGGCGGTGGAGCTGTGTCCTTGGGAGCAGGATGAAGGTTGGGCCCACAGCCCTGCCCAGCACCACAGCTGCTGAATGGATAAACCAAATCCAGGGCATGCTGAGCTCCTTTGGGCTGCCTGCTGGCCTGTGAGCATCTCCCATGCTGGGGATTTGGGGCTACGGCCCCCAAGATGGGACCTCTAGCCATCCCCACACCTGGAACCAGATGTGCAGCCCCTGAGAGCATTGCTGCCTTGCACCCTTCCTGCTCTGCACCCTTCCTGCTTGCTTGTCACACATGTGTGTGGGCAGGTTTGGCAGGATGCGCCCCCTTTCCTTCACTGGCCTGGCTCTTTGTGTGGGATAAATTCCAAATTTCGGCGCTGGGGGTGTGGGGCACGAGCCAGAGTCCAGGCTGGTGGCACAGGATGGTGGCACAGGCAGGGATGTGCACCGGCCCCACAGGCAGCACGGCAAAGGCTCATAACGGCTGCCCCGTGCTCTTAGGAAGCACAAACTGCACATCCCCTGACAGAGGATGAGGGTGATGATTTATTTCTAGAAATGCTCTCTCAGCTCCTCTCCCTGCAGAGGGGATGGGGTGTTTGTCTCAGGGCTGCAGGGCAGCAGAATGGGGCCCTCACCTGCTCTCTCCAGGTTCCAGAGGCACGTCTACACCTACCGCATCCTCCCCGATGACGAGGGGCTGCTCTCCGTGCAGGTGGGTGCAGGGGGTGCCCCCCGGCCCGGGCGGTGCCCCGGAGCTGGGTGTGGGCAGGATGCAGCTGTGCAGGGCCCGGGCTGCTCGTCCCCCTCACCCTCAGCAGCCTGTGGTTTGCTTTCTGCACGAGATGCAGGATGCGGGCGCTTTGCAGCTCCTCCAGCTCGGGAGGAGGAGCTGCCTCAGCACAGCATCCCCAGCACTGTCCCAGCCCCTTCAGGGGTCTGTCCTGCCCTCACTTCCATGTCCCCTCAGAGTTTCTCCTGGTACCCAGCTCCCTGCAGCTGCCCTTTCTGCCCCCTAAAAAGGGAAAATCCCCACCTGCTGAAGGAGGCTGATGTCTCCATGCTCCTCCATGCTCCTCACCCCATGGGTCTGGTGTCCAGCTGGCCCTTCCAACTCACCACGGGCACATTTTGAGGGACAGACCCACTGCACACAGCAGAGGAGGGGATGTGATGGTCCTTCCCCCGCTCTGCCTCTCCAGACCATCCAGGGCATCCAAGCCAAGTGTTTCCACACCCTCCCCGACCTGATTGGTGCCTACCAGCACCCCAACAACGGGCTGGTGACCCCACTGCTGCACCCCGTGCACCGCCCAGGGCCGGATGAGGACTCGGGTGAGCCGGGGAGGGCCCGGGGGCTGTGCCAGGCTGGCAGCAGGGGGGGTCCCGCTGAGCTGGTGACTCTGCCCACAGACGGGGAGGATGCCCGGGGCTGGGGGCACACGGTGCCGTGTCCCGGTGCTCCCCCCTCCAGCCGGACCCACATCCCGCAGCAGCTGCACCAGAGGCTGCAGGAGCAGCTCCACAGCAGGTAACGCAGCCCTGCCCGCCCCGGGCGATGGGGTGGTCATGCCCAGGGGAGATTTCATGCCCACCCCTCTCCCAGCCCGGCCAGTGACTTCATGGGCTTCGTGGCCGAGTACCTGACCCACCACGTGCACGACCTGGAGGCTCTGTGCCACCTCAGCGCCGCCCTCGCCACTGCCTGCCGGGCACTGCACAGGTCAGGGGCCTGGGGATGGTGGGGCTGGAGCGGGGACACCGCCCGGGGTGGCCGTCCTTGTCCACACCACCCCTCGCCTGTTCTCTCCTCACTGCAGTGAGATCGACTTCACGCTGGCAGGTCTCGAGACCCTGGCCAGGGTGTTCGACCCCCCTGTGTCCCCTCACAGCCCGGCCAGGGAGCAGGTGAGTGCCCCCACAGCCCCCAGAGACTTCCCAGACCCACAGCGAGGGATCCTCCACTCCAGTGCCACCGTGCTGCTCCAAAATGTTCCATCCTCCCCTTCAGGGTTTCCTGAGCAGCGACCCAGACCTGGAGCTGCTCCTCAACAAGATCTCCACTGTCAATCACCTCCTCTCTTCGCTGGAGAAGAAGGTGCCTGAACCCAGTTGTGGCACAGTGGGAGGCAAAGCTGCCCCTCCCCTAAATTAACACCTCTGCCACCCCAAGCTCCGGTGGCAGCACAGCCCAGGGCTCCCAGCTGGCCCAGTGCCCCCAGCACGCTGCCTGTCTCTCTGGCAGGTGCTGAAGTCGCTGCAGGAGACAGTGACAAGGCACAACCTGGCACTGCCCAGCATGGCCGTAGCCCCCCTGCCAGCTGCCAGGCCCCTGGCCGTGCAGAACTTCGAGGTGAGGCTGGGGACACAGCAGGACCCCGGTGTCACTGCTGGGCAGGGTGGGGACAGCCCCAGAGCCACATCCCTGCGTGCAGGTGAAGATGGGCAAGTCCCAGCGTGCGGCCCTGAGGGTGGACGTGGAGTCGGGCACAGTGACCGTCAGCAAGCGGGGCAGCAGCTCCCCGGAGGAGCTGATCCCACAGGACAAAAGTAAGAGGCTGCTGTGCTCCTGCTGGCTGCCAGTGGGACCCTTTGGGGCTGTAGGGTTCCCTGCCACAGGCTACATGCCCTGTCACACCCCAGTCCCCCATGGTGGGTCACCGTGCCCCCCTGACCCCCATCATTCAGTCCTGCAGCTGATCAAGTACCAGAGTGTGCAGAGCAAGGTGAGGCTGGTGTGTGCCCGTGAGAACCAGAAGAGCCTGAGCAGGGATTTCGTCTTCCCCAACGCGCGGGTGAGCGACGCCGCCGTGCCCACGGCGAGTCCTGGGGGAATATGGGGCCCTTGGGAATATGGGAAGCAGCAAATCAGTGGTCTTAAGCCTGAGATCACCTCTGCAAGCTGGCTCCTACACCTGGGGGTGATGTCCACCTGGTCCTGGGGTGCTGTGCCCCCCAACTCTCTAAGGCGCCCTGGCCATCCTGCAGAAGAGAGAGGCTTTTTGCCAGCTGCTGCAGCTGATGAAGATCCAGCACTCCAACCTGGACGAGCCTGAGATCATCTCGGTCTATGTCGGGACGTGGAACATGGGTAAGGGGCCAGGAGAAGGTGGCCCTGTCCTGGGAGGTTGCTGTGGCTCTTTGTGAGCCTGGCTGGGTTTTGGGAGGTGTCTCAGGGAACCTCAGGTCCGAGCTGGTTGTCAGCTTGAGGAGGAGGCTGGGGGTGACACCAATCAGCTGCCATGGGCTTTGTTTGACCGGGGGTGATCCGCTCACTTGGAGGCTGTTAGGGAGACAGAGGAATGGGGATATTGGGAGGGTTTTGGGCTGTAAATCCCAGCACCAGTCTGGGATGCACACACCTGATGAACGGGGCTGGCATTTTGCTTCCCGCCCTGGCAGCTCCTGGAGACGGGCAGGGCCGTGCTAGAGAGGAGCTCGGGATCCTGGCACGTCCCCCCTGTGTGACCCGTGTCCCTGCCCGCAGGCAGCACGCCCCCACCCCGCTCCCTGGCCTCCTGGCTGACCTCCAGGGGCTTGGGGCGCACGCAGGACGAGACCACGGCCTGCATCCCCCACGACATCTACGTCATCGGCACCCAGGAGAACTCCCTGGGCGACCGCGAGTGGGTCGAGTTCCTCTGCGCCTCCCTCAAGAGCCTCATGGCCATCGACTACCGAGTGGTAACAGCGGGCACAGCCAGCCCTGGGGGGCTGGGCACAGCAGCCATCACCCCACAGCTCCTCCCCCACCCCAAATCAGCCCAGGGAACCTCCTGTGCCCCACAGAGTCCATGAGTGCTGTCCCCAGGAGTCAGGGGCACGCTGACCCACCTGTGTGTCCAGCCCCATCCTCCTGGCCGTGGGGCAGGATGGGGCCAGGCAGGCTGAACCCTCTGTCCCCTCACAGGTGGCTCTGCAGTGCCTGTGGAGCATCAAGATCGTGGTGCTGGTGAAGCCGGAGCACCAGCGGCGCATCAGCCACGTCCACACCTCCAGCGTCAAAACCGGGATCGCCAACACGCTGGGTAGGGAGGGGATGGGGCTGGGAGGTGACCCCGAGCGAGGGGACAGCCTGAGGGCCAGTGCAGGACCTCTGGGCTCCCCCAGAGCTCAGTGGTGGCCCATCCCCACAGGGAACAAGGGAGCTGTGGGCGTCTCCTTCCTTTTCAACGGGACCTCCTTTGGCTTCATCAATTGCCACCTGGCCTCTGGCAGCGAGAAGACCCACAGGTGATGCAGGGATGGGGAGGGTGGGGCTGAAGGAGCCCTGAGGGGCTGTGGGGCTGCCTCTGTCTCCAGCTGGCAGGAACAGAATTAGAGCGAGGTGTCCCCAGGGTGGCCCACATGGTGCTGCTGTCCCCCTGCAGGCGTAACCAGAACTACAGTGACATCCTGCACTCCCTGACCCTGGGGGACAAACGTCTGGGGGGCTTCGACCTCACCCTGCGCTTCACCCACCTCTTCTGGCTCGGGGACCTCAACTACCGCCTGGACATGGACGTGCAGGTGGGACCTGCAGGTGCCAGGCTGGGGACAGAGTGGGGACAAGAGCCTGAGGGGTCACTGTCCCTTCCCTGGCACAGGACATCCTCAGCCACATCGTCAAGAAGGAGTTTCAGGCCCTCCTGGCTGTTGACCAGCTCAACCTGGAGCGGGAGAAGAACAAGGTGTTCCTGCGGTTCAGTGAGTGTGGGGACGGTCCCCACAGCCCTCCCTGTGTCACCTCCAGCTCTCAAGGTCCCCTCTGCCGGCCCAGCCCTGCAGAAGGTTCTGAGAGCCTGGGAGACCTTGGCATGCCCCGGGCCAGGGGTGCCAGCCGTGGTGTGAGCCTCCCATGGGGACAGGCAAGGACCATGGCCCCCGTGCCACCTGCGTGTCCTGATTCCAGGTGAGGGTGACATCTCCTTCCCTCCCACGTACCGGTACGAGCGGGGCACCAGGGACACCTACGTGTGGCAGAAGTCCAAGCCCACGGGGGTGAGTTCCAGAGGCCTCCCTCCAAGCAGGACATCTCTGGGGACAGGGACAGCAGGGTGCTGAGGGGGCTGCGTGGTGCTGCTCAGTCCCCACAGTTCCAGCAGCCTGTTCCCTACCAAAACAGGGTCTTAGCAGGAGGGAACTCACTTTTTGGGGGTGCTGGGATGCTCTTCTGGGCAGGGGGACCCAGACCTGAGAGGCCACTGGACCAGCTGCTTTCCCTATTTCTTTGTAGGTGCGGATCAATGTCCCCTCGTGGTGTGACCGCATCTTGTGGAAGTCACACCCAGAGACCCACGTGGTGTGTAACTCCTACGGTGAGTGAAACCCCAGGGACACAGCAGCCAGGGGTGGCCAGTGCTGCCCAGGACCCCAGGGCTCTGGGACCCTCCCCAAGCTGCCCCTCCTGCCACCCAGGCTGCACTGATGACATCGTGACCAGTGACCACTCGCCTGTGTTTGCCACCTTTGAGGTGGGAGTGATGTCGCAGTTTGTGCCCAAGGAGGGTAAGGGCTGGGGTCTGTCACCCCTCGGGCCAGGTTTGGGGTGAGCCCTGGCGCCCCCTGACCTGCCAGGACCTGCCTGCAGCTCCTGGCTCCAGCCCCGAGGCGCTGGCCTGCATCGAGTGGGAGAGCGTTGAGGTGATCCTGAAAACCACGAGCCGCAGCAAGTGCTACATCGAGTTCCACTCCTACTGCCTGGAGGGTGAGGGGGTGCCTGGGGTGCTGGGGGTGGCTGTGGGGGTGACCTATCCCGGCTGGAGCTGTGTGCCCCTCTGTCCCCCCCAGAGGTGCAGCGGAGTGGGGAGAACACCTTCCAGAACTGTGACATTCCGGGGTTCCTCAAGCTGGGCTGGTCCTCCAAGCATCTGCCTGTGGTGCGCAGCCCCGGAGCATCCTCATCCCTGTCCCTGCCTCTGGCTCTGTACCCTGAGCCCCAAGGGGAGCTGCAGCTGTCACCAGCTCCCAGGACAGAGCCTCCCTGTGCCCCCCACCCCGTGGCAGCCCCCCAAGCACCCCCTCTCTGTGCACAGCTGAACCCCATCCTGCCCGACCTGGAGTACCTGGGGGACCAGCACCTGCTCCTCAGCTTCAAGGGCGTGGAGAGCTGCGAGTCCTACGGTACGTGGGGATGGTGAAATTGGGGACACCATGGTGGCAGGGAGGTGCCACCCCAGGTTACAGCCTGCTGGGTGTGAGGTTGGTGGCTGAATCTCGGCAGGAGGGACCCTGCTCGGGGTGCTGCTGCTCACGGGGGACACGGGTGTCCCCCGAGCCCCGGGGGCTGACGCTGTGCCTTCAGGGGAATGCTGCCTCGCCCTGAGGTCAGCGATCGGCAGCACGGCCCGGCAGTTCGAGACCTTCCTGTTCCACCGTGGCGAGGAGACGGGCTCGGTGCGCGGCTGGATGCGGGTGCGGGTGCCCCGGGGCCGGCGCGGCACCCGCGAGAAGCTCTACGGTAACGGCGGCCGCACGCAGCCCCCGCCCGGTGCCCCGGGCTCGGGGACATCCCGGGACACTTGCTCCTCTGGCCCCCGGCCGTGGGGTGAGGCCAGAGCTCGCTGCCTTTGCAGAGTGGATCAGCTTTGAGGAGGAGGAGGAGAAGGATGCTGAGCCGGCGGCAGAGCCCCCGATGTGCCCCGAGCCTGCCCCGCAGCGCCTCAGGTACCCCGGGCGGGCTCGGCCGTGCCGGAGCCCCGGAGTGGGGGGATGCTGAGCCCTTTCTTTCCCCGTCTGCGCTTCGCAGGAGCCGCCCCCGCAGCCTCCCGGAGCCGACCACCGACTACACCAACCCCGCCTACTTCATCTTCGAGGGAGTGCCCACCGCGCGGCTCCCGGCTCCCGGAGAAGCCCCCAAGAAGCCGGCAGAGGGTCCGGCCGGGGGCCAGCAGTGCCGGAGCCCCGCTGGACCGCGGCTCCCGTTACCCTCGGAGGAGCAGCCGTGGTGTGACCGGCCCCGCTGTGGGCCACCGAGCCCGTCCCGTGGGCACCCACTCAGCGCCCCCAGGGCGGGCCACCACCAGAGACCCAAGTCGGCCGTCCTGACGAGGGACACGCTGGGACTGGGCGACTGCTCGCTGGATGTGGCCACTCAGCTGGACCAGGCGTCAGCGCAGTGCAGGGGGGACATCCAGGAGATCTCACTGCGCCAGAGCCACCCGGTCCCGGAGCCGCCACCGCGGCCCTGCCGGGAGCCACCGAGGCCGCCGGGGAAGCGGGGGGCGCTCGGTGCTTCGGAGATGGAGGTTCAACCTCCTCCTCCCGCCGACCTGCAGCCTGCCAGGATATAGCCACGGCTGTGCCCGGCCCTGTGCACCCCCGTGCCCTCGGCAGCTGCTCCCTCCTGCCCAGCCCTGCCCAGACGGTTCTCCCGGAGGTTCTTCCCTCCAGCACAGCTCCCGAGGCCGCTGCGCTGCTTCCCTTTGCTCTCACTATCCAGAATAAAGTGTCGGGGACCGGGTGCGCGTTTGCACACCTGGTTCTGCGAAAGGGCAAGGAGAAAAAGCACCGAGGCAAGAAAACACCGAGGCGTTGTCTCCCACGTCTCCCCGCTCCATGGGAACCCCGCGCACCCCAACCCTCGAGGCTGCCCTTGCCCGTCGTAAAGTGATGGGTGCCACAGCCCTTGACACCCCCGCTCTGCTCCGCCCGGCACAGGGAGAGGGGCACCCCCTCAGAAACCGTGTCCCGGCCGTGTCCTGGCTGTGCCACACGCGAGGTGGCCCCGGATTTGGGAGCACGATGCCCGGGCTGGCCTCACGGTGGCAGTGGCCATCTTTGTCCTCGGGCTCGCCCCGCAGGGCTGGGGGCCGGCGGAACAGCGCTGCGGGACCCCCGAGCCAGCGGGGCAGGAGGGATGTCCTGGGCGGGCGAGGGGCCACGGGCCCCAGGGATGGGGGCTGCGACCCTCACGGCTGAGGGTCTCCATGAGAGAGGGGCTGTGGGAGCCACGGGCAGAGGGACACAGCCCAAGGGTCAGGGACTGGACCTTGTGCTTGAGTGACCATGGTCCCCATGGGTGGAGGGATGCGGTCGCCACGGCCGGGGGGACACGGTGCCCATGAATGAGGGGCTATGCCCTCGTGGTTGAGGGGCTGTGACTGCATGGAAGAGGCCACCATGCCCCATATCCGGGGGCTGCAGGTGGCCCAAAGCCTGTGAGGGCAGCAGAAGGATGGGAGCCCAGTGGGGCTGAGCCCTGCGGCAGCTCCTGCCCCCGCCTCTGCCCGCCTCCAGCCCTGCCTTCCCCGGGCACTTTGCTCCCGGCCGTGGGAAGCGGGACCGGGCACGCTCGGCACGGCAGGGCACAGCCAGGGCCACCCACAGCACCCCGGCATGGCCCCGTCCCGCGTGGGGAACAGGCTCTCCCCGTGGGGACCCCACTCCTGAGAGCCGCCCAGGTCTGCAGGTGAGCCGGGGCAGCGCCTGTTTGGTGACAGCCGGGAGGGACAGCCCTGCCATGGTCACCCAGTCCCAGCTGGGCTCCGGGGGTGAGGGACAGAAGCGGATCTGCAGGGCTGGGTGGGTGCAGGGTGGGGGCCAGCCAGTTCTCACCGGCCCTCCACCACCCCCAAATCCCTCTGTACCTCCTCTGTAACACGCCACCTCTTTCCTCTGTCACCGAGGGCCTTCATCCTTCCCAATAAGTCCCCCTCCTCTCCTTCATCCTCTTCTCCATCCCCCACATCTCTGACTTGTCACGGGTTGAAGCTGCCCTGGTGCTGCCTTGGCTCAGCCCGACACCGTGAGCTCCTGCACGTTCCCAGCGAGGTGGGGGACAGGGACAGCCCAGCAAGGGTGGAAGGGAACCCTCACCCCCACCCTGCCCAGGTCACCTCGGGGCAGGGGATGGGGTGGACAGCCCGACCCTACTGGGGTCCCCGGGGAGGTGTCCTGGCAGAGTGTGCCCTGGCTGCTCTTCCAGGAGAAGGGAAGGACTGGAATTAGGTCACATCCCCTTGTGCCGGGGCTTTGGCTGCACCAAGCACGTGGCGATTAGGGACAAGGGTCCTTCTGCAGGATGTTTTGCATAATTTCTCCTTGTTTTGCAATTTCTAAGGGCTTAGGCGAGGAGAAAAGCCCTGGTTTTCCCATGCTCCAGCAGCTGCCGGTCCTGGGCTCACCCATCCTTTGCAGCTGCTCCAAAATTTTCTCTCACCTCCCCTCTCCGAGCTCCTACCTGCTGCTCCTGGTCCCCAGCACCACGATTCCCATCCTCTCCTACCAGCAGGACTTTGGCTCCAGGGCAGATTCTGCTCTGGTGTTGTCCCACTCCTTTATTTTACTGGAGCCTTTCCAAGAGTTCCATGAATCCCCAGGGCTGGGAGAACCCTCAAATCCCACCAGGACTGGTGCTGCCAGCGGTGCCAAAGGACAGTTCTGGCTGGGAACACCTCACCTGCAGGACCAGGAGCCAGGGAGAAGCTGCCAATCCTGTGGCCAAGGGCACCATGTGCCTTCAATGTGTGTCACACACTGGCCCCTGCCCCTTCCCACTGCCCCATGGCTATTGCTGCATTTTCCAGGACCCCTCGCTGTTTCCTGGGGAAAACCAGGGGCCACTCCAAAGACACCATCCCTGGGGGATTTGCCTGCCATGGGCAAGGGGTTCTGCAGCATTCCTTGTACATCCACAAAACGGGCAGAACAAGAGCATCACCTCTTCCTGCATCACCTTCCATCTCCCTGCTCCAAGTCCTTTTCCTGCAGCACCTTCCATATCCCTGCTCCACATCCCTCCCCTGCAGTGCCTTCCATCTCCTGTTCCAACAATCAGTCCCAACTCTTGGCTCACACCTCAATCTCTCCTCCAAAGCCCACAGCCAAGGATAGTTTTGCTGGGAATATCAACAAGAAATAGGAATGGGGCTGGTGGTGATGTGTCCTCAAGCTGGACTAATGCGATTCATTAATTTCAATCACTGATTTTGATCGTGATTAAGACAAGGAAGCAAGAAACCTGTTAAGATAAAACTTGCCAAATGTCATCTTCTTCTGCATTTCTATATTTTGGTGGTTATCCTCAAAGGAATGTGCTTGGGAATGGTTAAATCCCGCTGCTGACTGTGCTCAGGCTGTATCAGCTGCCAGAAGCCGGGTGCCTGTGCTCTCCTCTGAGCAGTCCAGCAGTCCACAGCTGCTCAGGACTTTTCCTCATGCATTTCTCACACTTGATTATTAACTTTTACCTACTGTCTTCTCCATATCTTGGTTGGTGACCTGTGCCACAGACACTCAACCCGCAGCAGCTCTGCTCTGGTCACGCTCAAGGCTTTGTGTTCCCTTGCACGCAGAAACTGGAAGAGGAAACTCTTGGTCCCTCATATCCTCAGCAGCCAGGACCACCACTGACACCTCGCTTGCGAGCTCAGGGTTTCCTACCACCTGTTTTCCCTCCTGGTTCTGGGAAAACAAACCAAGTTCTGTGCACTGTTAATGTTTGATCAGGACCTGCCTGTTGCTCTCTGAACTCATCCCTGCAATAAAGGCGGGAGCTGTGGCGGGCCAGGAGCCGCAGGGTGTTGGATGTGGGCCTGGAGCTCAGCCCGCAACTCAAACAGAGCCCCTGGAGCACAGCTGGAGGGGCCCTGCTGTCCCTCTGCCTGCTGACTCATTTATGAGCATCTCTGTCAACCCCAGGTATCTCTCCAGGCAGGGCGGGGCAGGGATGATCCCACAGAGACACCCTGAAGGTATTCCTGCTGGGAGAAGCCTGCTCATCCTCAGGGCAAAGGGAAACAGGAGGGGGATGATGAGGGAGCCAAGGGGTGAAGGAGTCTGGGAAGATGTGTCCTTCCACCTTGTAGCACCAGCTCCAGCTAACCACGCATTCCTGAGCCCTCAGTCCTTCCCTGGCCTGGTGCCCATCACCTCCTGGATGAGCTCTGTACAAAAGGAACTGGGGATGCTCCTGCATCCCCTCCATCAAATATGGTTTTGGCTACACCCCGATCTCCACCAGCAGCACAGCAGCTCCTGCTCCCAGGTTACTCATCCAAGCATCCATCCTCTGTTGGAGGAGTTGTTTCACCAGGGATGGTGGAGAGTGTGGAGGGGTCAAGTCCCAGGCAGCCCTCACCGATGCTTTGCTAGACACCACAGTGGTGGCAAACCCTTCCTTTTCCCTCAAGAAGAGAGTTCTGAACTTTGACAGTTTGTCCTCATGCTGACTTCCCAGGAGTTCACAGATCCCAGCACAGCACAAGAGGGTCCTGCCTGTCTTGCAAACTCGCTTTGCCTTGAGCTGGGACTTAGCTCCAGCAGCTCCTTTCCACAGGGCTCAGCTCAGCCCTTCCCTCCGGACAACACCCGGCAGCCAGCGGCTCCTCGCTGTGCAGGGACGCTCTCTCCCAAAACCTCCTTTAACAGCCCCCCCAGGATTTCTCTGGGCCACAGCATTCCCCTAGACAAGCCTTTCTTCTCCTCCCGCCTTTCTTCTCCCAAGGAGTCCTCCGGGAGCAGCGGCATGGTCGGGATGGTGCCAATTAGGCGGAGGCAGCTTCCAAGAGGCTGTGCCGGCCCCGGCCGGGGGCTGCTGGTGCTCATCAGGGTCTCTTTGTTCGGCGGCCGTGGGGCTGTCCCGGCTCAAAGGGGTAATTAATGTGTGATTAATGGGTGTCAGTGCAGGGGCTGCGGAGGGGAGGCTTTGCCGAGCCCGTTCCCTCCCCAGCACGAGTTGAGAAAAACCAGAGAACCATCAAAGTGGCCGGAGCTCCTGGAGGGGGAGAGAATCTGGCAGCTTTGGCTCCCTTCCACGCTTTGTGCCCGACAATGGTCGGGATCAGTGACTATGTGCTTTTATGAACTGCTCCCTAGGTCTGGCGGGCACAACATGGCCACTCCAGTGAGGATATTCCCAGTTTCCCTGTGGACTCCGACGCCGGCTCCCTGGCCAAGAGGGAACACCACAGCAGCACCCGAGGCTAAGTGTGTCTTCAACGAGGAGTTCAAGTTCATCCTGCTGCCCGTCTCCTACAGCATCGTCTTTGTTGTGGGGCTGCCCCTCAACTCCTGGGCCCTGTGGATGTTCATCTGCAGGATGAGGCCCTGGAACGCCACCACCACCTACATGGTCAACCTGGCCCTCTCAGACACGCTCTACGTCCTGTCCCTGCCCACCCTGGTCTATTATTACGCCGACCGCAACAATTGGCCCTTCGGGACGGGGCTGTGCAAGATCGTGCGGTTCCTCTTCTACGCCAACCTCTACAGCAGCATCCTCTTCCTCACCTGCATCAGCGTGCACCGCTACATGGGCATCTGCCACCCCATCCGCTCCCTCAAGTGGGTGAAGACCAAGCACGCCCGCATCATCTGCGTGGCCTCCTGGCTCGTGGTCATCATCTGCCTCATCCCCAACCTCATCTTCGTCACCACCAGCTCCAAGGGCAACACCACCCTGTGCCACGACACCACCAAGCCTGAGGATTTCGACCACTACGTGCACTACAGCTCCTCCGTCATGGCCCTGCTCTTCGGGGTGCCCTTCCTGGTCATTGTCCTGT